GTTCTTATTTTGAAGGACTGTCCTCTGGGTTGGTTTCAGCTAAACTGGAATTAAGATGCTGCTTAATTATACGAGGGTGTGACAAACTAAACTGAAAAGCGTATGGGATAAACGAAGTTCTTGCATGGTCACGTTTCCTGTTTATGCAGAAACCTGAAATGTTTATATAGCCACATTGTATAGTTGTGGTTAAACCAGTCAGATTCCATATCCGCGCGTAAACGGTTTGTGATGGACCACGCATTTTTTCTATACTGAGAAGGAAACGCAAGAATTTTGATCACGTCATCTTTTTCTTTTTTAGTCTGCCACATTGAAAAAGCCTTTTTTAAACGGAAGTCTTGCTTATTACCCCGAGTTACACGTTTCGTAGGCATTGTATGACTAGGTTTGGGGTCCTATGCTTCGCCTAAGGCATAAAAGTAGTGCTGGGTCAAACCTCTTGTTGATATTGAGCCGCTTTTGTGCACCAAGCTTTCATTTTTCTACAGCTTGCTTGAAACATTATCCAAATCGAAAATTCCAAAGTAGACGCTAATACTTAAAATAATTTTTGCATCGGTCATATGTCGGTGTTGTGAGGAGTTTGGAACACCACGAAACGTTTACATGTATTGGAGTAAGCCTCGAATTTTTCTCGGGCTCTATATACACAAAGAAACAGTCAAATATTTAACCGTGGCAGGATCAAAGTGGGTAACTCTCTTGTGCGGACAAAAGTTGACGCTGTATAGCACGCCCTGAAATTTACATTGACCGTTGTCACAAAGTGTTACAAAGTTTTAAGCTGTAAAACTGTTCACAGTGAGTCAGCCTTTTTTCAGTGTGTTTCCTGGGTTCTTTGGCAGTAATTGTGGAATTCTCCCTTGGCTTATTGATTGTGGGTTCTTGCTAAGCCTTATAGACGCCACGAAAAGTTTGGATGACGTCAGCACGCTCGTATTCTGGCGTCTCATAAAATGCACCTGCAGAGAAGAATGCACAATGGAAAGACGCTGTCAAGGTGCCGTTTTCGGTTCCAACATGATGTCACATTTCAGGTTCATGTGGTGTTACCCACAACCGAGAGAAACCACCAAAGCCATCTTGTTGCTTAAGACCGTGCAGATGTTGACGCTGTCATTTGGGTAATTGAAGAATACAGGTACAGAGGACGGTACCAAATTAGTGATGTACATGCACTCATCTTAACTTAGCCATTCAGTTGTATTTACATGTACCGTTGGATGTACTTCCATATTGTGATAAATTGCTTGAAATACAAACTGCTGCAAACTGATTGCTGACTAAACTGACCTAAAATACAAATCGCAAAATGATATGGAGGGACTGACGTTTCGATTTCTAGTAGAATCTTTCTCAAAGGCAAAACAATGTGATAAAATACATTTACGGTTTACAACGTGCGAGTTTTGATGCCTTTGGAAACCGTTGGGATTTGTCAAAAAGAGGCACCATGGAGACAAACATCAGCCATAGAACATAACAGAATAAACGTTACAAAAAATGGAGTTACGTTTGAGTCTCACGTACGAGATCGGGCAGTTCAAGTAATTCCTACAATGCCGTCTATGAGGACCCCACCGACTCACCAATTACCGGGCGGTAACGGATGAAATCTCAAAACTTGCACTATAGTTAACGAGTTCCAGAATTCATTTGACATGTTCGAAACTGTATTTTGCTACATCTAAAAATAACAGGAAGCCTCGGGGATAACAGCTTATATTCCCCGGGTATATTTCCGGCTAATTTCTTGGATTTGACTTTCATTCTAATGATACGTAAACCGCAATGTTGTTTTTCTTGATAGTAAATTACAGTAAACTCTGTTGTTCGATGTCAGAGCATTAAAATCTTAGCTGAAATCACAGTCTTGTTTGAATCAACAGACAGATGTATGTGTTCTGGTATATTCCATCATTAGGAATAGAGCCTTCCTGCACCTTTTGGTGTAAAGTGGCGGAAATCAGGGGGATGGGAGTATGCATATCTCCCCACTTTTTCACTGGAGGCCAGGGATGATGAGAAAAAAAATCAAGCCGATTTTGAGGAATTTTTCAGATGTTACAACCTCAATGTATTCATTAGCTCTGAAAAGGGAGAAAATGAAGGATGAAAGAAAATCCTATAAACAGGACCTGGCGCTGTTTTGAGATGAGGGTCAGGGGTGGAAGTATGTTAAAGATGTACACATTTATCATGAACAATGCCCCTATTTGTCATATCTTGTCAGCACCCCCACTTCGGCTTTTCAAATTTTCATGGCTGAGCAATTTTTGGATTTACGTCATTACGTCAGCATAAATTTTCGTCACGGTTCATGTTTTTTGTATGTAACTATACTCGCACTTTATCCGAGGCTTAATTTGGGCTTTCGGAAGACACGCTGCTACACTAAGAAAATTATTCCAAAAAGTTAAACTTTTTCTGGGAAAGTTAACCTTTTACCGTGATCTATGGGTTTTAATCATAGCAGTGGCGGACCTGGGTTGGCCCAAGAGTTGGGTGTAGCTCTCGCATCGGGAGGGAATTTTAACAGGCGTCGCAACCCCCTCCTCCCACACACTTTTCGAAGCACAAGAGGCCTTACACACAAGAGGGAAGGAGATATGGATCTCCAGTGGCCGGCGGATCGTAGTGCCTCAATGGTGAAATCACGTTAGCGCTTGAAAAAGCGGGAAAGGTGATAATTTCGTTATATTCCCACGCACCAATTGCCATCCATGCCTCCGCAGATCCATTTCTCCATTATCGATATGTGTACAGTATACTTCTACGGTCGCCAGAAGCACCTCTGGATTCATGCTCGACAGCGGTTGGCGGGAGGGATAAACCTA